ACCGTACAGTAGTACAAATATTTGATTTAGATTTGTAGAAGTTTAATTCCTGTGGTCAATTACACTCTTCATTGTATGTACTATTAGTTAATTTGTTTATTTTTTTACTTAGAGTTAGAAAATACTTGGTGGTGATTGTTTTTTTTTTTTTGTTTGGTATTAACATATATTTATATTGAAGACTCAGAATGTACCTAGCATTGTTGTGTTAGTGGAGATGAACCTGTGATGCTGAGTATGGATGATGGTAATTAATTTGTAGAGGCGCACTGCTTTTGAAATTATAATGGTAAAAATAATCAATGGAAAGTGTTAATAAATATTTTGTATCTGTATATTTTATTATAAAAACTAAATAGAATCTTTTGAATAGATGTGGCAGCTGCTTCTATATTAAACTTAGAATAATGTTTACGTGTACATTGATAATATTTTTTTATAATAAAAATAATCATCTTATCAAAACGAAGCAGTTCTTTAAGACAGTTAGGCTTTTCCTGTACCAGTGCTTATTGCTGTCTCTTTCTTTGATCGTTTCATTGGTATTTTATACAACTGAATCTGTAACTGCTCTACGTAGAAATTATTGTTACTAGAACATGATCTGTTTCTTGTGTTGGCTAACCCATATTGGATTTGTAAGTCTTTGTTGAAACATTCAGAAGTTTTTCTACAGTTGTCTGTATGCTATAATAAGTATGTGTTTTTATGGTTAGTTCTCGAAATTTGTAGCAACAGTGTATTATTTTTTTGTGCACTCAGTTATCAAGTTTTATTCAATATTTTTATTGAGTACAAGCTTCGAGATGCAAATGTTTTTTTAATTAAATATTTATGTCTTCTCAGTAACATATACTTTTTCTATGCTGGATCAAATGGAATGTATTTGTGTATACTTTGAAATTAGAAGCATGTATGCATATGGTTCAACAGAGGCCTAAAAGACTTTAGTCATCATTGCAAAATGTAAATGTTTAAGACACATTTTGTCCATTTTTATTACAAGCATGAATTAATTTAGTCCAAGTACCCTTCTTGGCTATTTTTCTGTTTGGCCTACGTCATATACTTTATATATGCTTGTTGACTTTTTTGGGGTTGAAGGTGTTAAAAAGAAATAAAATGTTAGTATTTTTATAGCATAGAAGAGTTAGGCTTCCCTAAATGTGTGAAAAGGTAGGTAAATATTACTAGCATATTAAAGTTGTTTAGTGTTTTGTATTTTTTTAACATTGTTACACATGACAGTTAACTTAAAATAAACAGTACACTTAAGAGTCTGTCCTAATTTTTTTTATTACTGATATGTCACAAGTATGTCAACTGTGGCATATGTATGTACTATTTCGTCTTGAGACTAAAGGCAATGTGAAATGTATAATAGGCCTTCCAGTAACCCTATTTTCATACTTTTGCAGGTCTCTTCTATTTCTCCCCAATTCATTTTGTCAAAATTTCTCCTTGTTTTTGGGGAAACAAATGGGTTTGTGTGTTACCTTTCCAGGTCTATCAGTTGTAGCAGAAGTTTTTCTGGTTCTGTAACTCTTTGGTATGTGTATCAAACATGTAAAAAGCATTAACATAAACTCTAAAGTGTGTACACCATTAATTACTACATATTCATTAATTAAGTGCCATGTTACTCTGTTACCCCAATATTTTACCATTATGCCTCCCTTTTTTCTCTCTCTCTCTAAAAATTGTCTTCTATACCCCAATATGCACTACAGAAATTAAATAATTAGTTATAATGTCTGTGTGGCTTTGCTACGTTATCTTTGTTGACACAAAAATACAACTGTTTATATTTTCAAATATCAGATAAGCAATGTTCACGATAACATTCATTAAAAGACTTTTTATGACTTTTGAACAATTTCACGTAGAACGTCTGGATACGAGTTTTAAGTGTAACTTGGTTTCATGGATCTCCATACAGATTCATGTAATACCTATCCACTGACTCCCATCAATAGGGAAACTGAGAACCTTAACAAAATTGATTTATACTTTTTTTTTTTCAATCCCCTTCTTTTTTATTTTATATTAGCATTCCCCCCCCATATCTGGGTATGCTTTTAAAAGATATCTTGGAAAACAAGAATATGTAAATTTATCCAGTGCTACATTAGCTAAAGACCATTTTAAGTAATATATTTTGTTTGATTTCAAATTATAACACCAGGTGGTTAGGGAGCTTGACTCACAATCTGAGGGTTGCTGGTTCAAATCCCCATCCCACCAAACATGCTTGCCCTTCCAGTCGTGGGGGTGTTATAATGTGACGGTCAATCCCACTATTTGTTGGTAAAAGAGTAGCCCAAGAGTTGGCGTGGGTGGTGAAGACTAGCTGTCTTCCCTCTAGTCTTTCACTGCTAAATTAGATATCACTAGTGCAAACAGCCCTTGTGTAGCTTTGCATGAAATTCAAAACAAAACAGACCAAATTATAACAACAGCACTGGTTTATATTACTATTTCTTGGGTTGAAAATGTTTTTTATCATCCCAAAGTTAGGCATATGGATTTTAATGACATAAACAGCAATTTTATGCTAAAAGAATGATTTGATAAATTAGAATAAATCAAAAGCATTACTCTTCCAATTTTTAAAAAATAAGTAATAATAATAATAATTATCAATTTTTTGTAATTGCTGCATAATATCTTCATGGTGAGTGTGTGTTTGTAAATACATGTAGTGTACATTACTGGTCATAATTATACGTTGGTTTGATACAAAGTTTGCGTATTCGATAATATTAAATTCACAGAACCACTGGTGTGATAAAAGAACCTCATTTTCCCTGTGTTTTTATTCCCCAAATTTCCCCTTGGAGTTTTGTCTTTCATTCCACCTATCTTGAGGATTATTTGTACTATAAGAACAGAGAAAATTATGATGAGAAACTTAATTTTTTTTTTAAAGAAATAACATTAATATATTAGTGTTTTATAAATATGTAAATAATTTTGCATGCGTGTCTTTTACCCCGTTATACTAATAGTAATAGTTACTTTAAACCTCAGAGTCAGAACGACATATAATAAATATTTTTTTTCTTGCATAATTATAGTTTTGCAAGCATCACAAGGACACTTATTGAAAGTGCATTTAACAGTAATGATTATTGGTATGCCAAAAAGCAATGTAAAACTGTCAAAGTATTGTTGTGATATTATACGTCAGGTTAAACTTGTGTGAACTGCACACGTGTCCCTTCCCATTTAGGAACAGTTTTCTCGCTAGAAAATCATGAATAAGAATGGTGAAAACGTAGTTTCCATAGCAATACGTGCATGTATTAAATAAACACATTATGCCTTAGAAGTTAGAGACAGGCGAATACGTGTCAACTTAACACTTCGAACTGAAGATATGTAACGAAGTGAGCGAGACTGATCTGCTATTTTTAATGTTTTGTTTTATATCAGAGTACGTGGTTTTTACCGGAATGAATTTAATTTAAATAATTATCACTATTTTAATAATATATCAGTAGAATATTTTAGCGTATATAATAAATCTCGTGTTAGGGTATATTAACTTTTTTTTGGGTGGGGGGAGATTCTTACAACATCAGACGACAATGCCCTGGATAAAAATATATTTAGTATTTTCGTCGAATGTGTATACTTGTTAATATACCGTCGATATAAGGAATGTGGAATGCTTATTTCTTTTTACATATTTTCCAAGTGTAATATAATATATGACGGGAAAAAAAAAGATAAATTAATTCATTGCTATATTTGTATTCTAGTGGTGTATATATATATGTGTGTTTATGGGCTACGCTTTTTTTTTTCTAGGTTTTGTGATCTCAATAGGCTTGCATATTTTTGTATAGTTTTGTTGAACTTATTAAAATACATATCATTCGTACAAACTGTGGTACCACATGGTTGTTGATTTTTAAAAGAAGGTTAAAAGTGGCATAATGTGCCTTAAGCAGAGATTACGAATTATTAAGCATATTTGTATAGCTGTGTATAAGAAGGTTCTAATAAAGAAAACTTTGTAAACTTTTCTAATCTTGTGTATCTTCTAATATTGTTTTTTTTATCTCACGCTCATTTAAAGTCACGCTAAGATATATAAACACCAAGAATAAGAGCCCCACGAAGCATCTTCGCAGTAACATGTTAATAAGATACACCATTCGGCGTATTTTATTGTTACACACCAGCGTACCATGGGCCTGTAATCTATGGGTAGCGGGAACGTAACCCATCACTGAACATACTCACTTTTTCAGCCCTGGTTGCGTTATAATATGACGGTAAATCCCACTATTCTTTGGTAAAAGAGTTGGCGGTGGGTGGTGATGACTAGCTGCCTTCCCTCTAGTCTTACGCTGCTAAATTAGGGACGGCTAGCGCAGATAGCCCTCGTGTAGCTTTGCGCGAAATTCAAAACAAACCAAACCCATTGTTCGTTGGTAAAAGAGCAACCCAAAAGTTGGTGGTGTTCACTAGTTGCCTTCACTCGTAGTCTATCACTTCGAACAAACAACAAAAATTGTTCCTTACCTGCAGATCGAAGAATTCGATAAATATTTAGTCAAAACCGTACATATATATATACATTATCCCATAAGTTCATTGTGAAATTAGGAATATAGTCCTTATTTCATGCACCATTGCTTTTGATAATTATATATATATGATTGTTGTAGTTGTTTTAGCTACACAATGGGAATCGAATCTCGTATTTCAGAGTTGTAAATCCGTAGGTTTGCCGCCGACCAACCGTGGAATTAAGTAAATAGAAAACTCAAATATACTACATAATTTACATATTGGATACAGCAGGTAGCCCAACGTGGCTTTGCTCTAAAACAAAAAATGAATAAATACCACTACCGTATTTTGAATAACCGTACCAGTATTGAAATGTTGTTTGGCGCGAGATTGGTTTGGAAAAAGTATATATATCAGTAAGTTTCCGTCAAGTCTTGAAACAAGTAAAAGTAATTGTTTGAATACGTAGTTGTATTCCAAACGTGGAGTGTCGTCATATTTGTGTTGTCAACACCCTTTTCACACGTGCAACCTACTTATTGATCATGCTGACGTGTGTGTGTGTGAAAAATATGCTAGTTTTAAAGCCTAACCAAGTTTTTTTTTATTTTACAGAAAAAGAAAAAAAAGTATTGGCCTGTACAATATAATAAAGTTTTACCTAAATACGCGTGTTAAATAATGGATTTATAGGTTTACAAAGCATAAAAGTTAACCTTTAATATTTTATTTAAAAAAATATATGGTTATGAAGATCAGAATTTAACTGGTAAATAGAAAAACTAACAATAAATTAAGGTGTGTCGTAATTGGATACTCCTAATATTTTATTCTCCAACACGTATTTCGCCATATATAGGAGCTGAATTGTAGCGTCATACACGGTAAACAAGTTTTGGGCGTGGCTGACTTCATAAGGTCAGTTATTTCATCTTTCAATTTACTGTACATCCATAGAAATTCAGTAAGGTATCTAACTATGATATACCTTGGTTTATTAACTATATGTTTTCTTTTTCATTGCGAATAAATTCTGGGCAGATCCAGAAGGAATTAGGTCCCTTAATTAAGGCGAACAAAATCACACGAAAACGACCAGTAAGTAAATTTTATTAACATCCACCTGGAAAACGGTTCAACACATTTAAATACATTTTTAACGGCGAAAATATAGTGCACAATGTCGCTGAAATTCTTTGCAATTTATACAGTGGCCACAAAACCAAAAACCATAGCGCTAACTTATAAAATAACGAGTTTAAAAAAGGAACCGTTTAAGTCCAATATTAACGTATTTTGAAATAGCGCTTCGCAACCCAAGTAACTTAGAATTATCTAACGTTATTTTTAAAAGGCTAAAATTCAACCACTTAGATACTTTTCTTACATTTTTAAACACTGGACTCTTCGGCTATATTATAAAGGTTTGGTTAACATATCTTCACCAAATAAACCAGGGATTAATGATTCTATAGCAGCCCCCCCCCCCCAGTAGAATAAAAAGCAAATAATAATAAATTAAAAAGAATTATCAAAGATATGATTACATTCTGAGAAAAGAATAAACTGTTTTCACTGAAAACATAAAATTACCTAAATCAGGTCTCTTCAAAAGTTATGTAATTTTTTAATAATAATGAGCCTGTCGTTTAAAATAACACAACTGAGATGAAACATTGCTGAAAATTAAAAAACTGCAACCACATGTGAAAGATATTGATCATGAACCACACATAACAAAAATGTCTACCAGCTACAAGTAAGCATTATAGCGAAACACCATAACTTCCTAGTCATTATATATTAGGTATTTCGATAATATTCTAACAATAGTGATAATTTTTGACGTTTCACTGATGAAGAAAAAATTTTCATCCGACTGACAACATGTTTTTTGATATTACATTTAAATAAATGGAATATTATATTGTAAGACTTGAAATCAGCCCGGTTATTTTAAAGTGCTTGCATCTTTATCAATGGAATTAGGAACGCTTCCCAAGTGAGAATCCCAGCGCCAACGGTAGATGGGAGGTCCTGGAGAAAAGCAGTCTTGTTTAGTTAAGATTCCGTCGCCTTCCACGTAGTACATCATGT